TGTTCTCCCATTATTTACTGGCCTGAACTGCCTCTCAAAAGGCAGTCCCTTATAGAACGATACACCCCGCCCTCTACCAGACTGAGCGTTTGGGAAAAAACTAGGGTGATTGTGATGCTGCCATATCCCTGGTTTCTCTGCATTTGCACTCACTTGTTTTTTGCATCTTGCACATAGGACGTCTTCGTCCTTTTTGGCTCTTTTCCTTTGATACGTTCAAAGACACTGAGATGCGGTTCAGGGTCTTTTTCTCCATCATCCATAACCAACTTGAATTTTGGCAACTTATTTTTGAAACCAGACGTCACCATGTTCACTCCAAGTGGCTGTGGAAAAGGATTTTCATCCACTGCCATCTTTCTCTTATCCTCGAACGTAATTCATCATTTTTCAATGACATCCTGTAACACATGGCGAAAAACCAAACAGTTGTTAGTCAAATGTGACTATGCATTATGCCACTTACAATATTTTTTACCCTTAATTTGTTTAGGGCTTGGTGATTTATGTTTATCGCTCAGTTTTATCTGCTTATCCTTATATAATTTATCAAATATAAGGTCAGCTTTGGTTACATCGAACGAGAACGTTCTAGCCTTTATGTTTTCATCTTTTATAGGCTCATCCTTACCCGACGGTCTAGGCTTAGCCATTATAGGACAAGTATACGTGTCTCCTTTAACTAATTCGACCAAACACATTTCGGTTTGATCGTAATACTCGTCATTAATGGTATGAACATCAAAATTTGGGTCTCTATAATAAGTCTCCTTGCTAGAATTTTTCATTTGTTCTTCTTCTCTTATTAATCGTTCATACCTAATCACGTTTGTGCTCAATTGGAAAAGATCAGAAAATTCCTTGTCTTGGAACTTCTTCTTCCGATCGAAGTTTAGACAACCTTGAGCGATTTTGACAAACTCCTTTTCGAGCAAAGGTACAAAACATTTACTTCTTGCTGTCTTGAACCTTTGAAGGAAACCTTCTGCCCATTCGTTTGGCATTTGACGTAGATTCGTCAAATCGACCAAAGTAACTTCAGACTCAGTCTTATAAAACTGAGCGTGGAACAATTGCTCCAATTATTGCCATATTTGAACAGAGTTTGCTGGCAAATTGATAAACCAGGAGAATGCTACTCCTATTAATGAACTAGGGAAAAGCCTCATTTTATAGTAATCGTTTACTTCACCACTTTGCAATGTGAATCGCCCTATGTGTTCCAGAGTAGACACCTCTCCTAAACCGGTAAACAATGAGAATTCTGGCACTTTGTACCCTCTAGGCCATGGATATGCTTGATCTATCCAATCAGGATATGGCTTTGTGTAAGTCGGCCTAATGACAGGACGTACTCCAAAAGCCATCTGGTCCTGTACGATTTCCATAATCTGATTCCTCAACATGACGCTGGGGTCATATGAAATTCCTACAGGTAGGTTGACCGGTTGATTTGCTTGAGGCCTGATGTTTGGTCCTTGATTGGCAACAAAGTTACCATGATTTGGGTCATTGTTACTATTAGCCTGAACATTTATTTCATCATTAACACGTGGGGTATTCTGTCCATTATTTAGGACATTATATCTTATATTTAGGTTACCCCCCAAGTTAAATGTACCAATGCCACTATTCTGATTTGATATTAAACCACCCCCCTGGTTTGAAGTAGAGGGATCAAAATGTGGTTCTACCCTTTGATTTAAACTTAGGACTGGGGGATTATGTCCCACAATTGTCCTAGTTTGAAAGTGGTTTGTAAGAGGCACAACTGGCTGACAAATTTGGCCTACTAACTTATTCATTATTTCGTTCAAAGTATTCAGTTGTTTGGCCATGTTGTCATAATGTGCATTCTCATTCTGGGTAAATCTTTCCATATTATGAATATTTCATAGATTTACCTGTTCAACGACATCTTGTGTGAGTTCTCTGAGTAATGCACGTATGGTTCGAGGACTCAACTCTGTCATTGGTTCGTAACAACTATGATTGCTTTGATTCTGTCCATCTGTTCGTGGAGAGCTATGCTGCTCCTCATATCGTTCGATCACAGACTGGACTCCTCCCTGACTTGCTGCTTCCTTATCGGATTTCTGAGGCATATTGTTTCACCTTTTGTATCTTCAACACCAAACACCAAGATCCCACTGGGCGTGTCAAATTGTTTCGCGCGGATAGTCGCTAACAATTAAAAAGGGATCAGACGATTATGTAAGGAACAAACCTCTTGAAATAAAGTTCCAAAAAGGAATGTTTTATTGGCGATGACTTTACAATTGGAATTTAAACAGAATGCCTCCAAGGGGCGCAAGTATATGAGTACTGAAAAGAAATGTTTTAAATCTAAACTAAGGAATTGAAATTACATATTCTCTGTTTGAGAGTGTTTGATTCGGGGTCCTTTGCTCTATGTCTTTTCTTCCTTTTATATTCCCTTGATGATCTCTTCGTGATCAACCGCTTAGAAACCGCTTAATTGCTTTATAACTGCCCACTTTCTTCATGGTGGCCAACTTATCGTGGAACTGCCGTCTCTAACTGCTGCCACTACTCTTTGTCGTTCAACCGTCTTCAACTGAATATCCTTGAATCGTGGAACGTGATAAGATTACTCAATAACTGTTTCGATAACTGCACTTTTGGATAACCATAACATCTTATGTTTGCTAAGATCTTGGGCGATTCAAAGGTTTGGGCGAGAACATGGTCATAACTCTGGGCGACTGCAAGGCACTTCATTCGCTCAGATCTTGGGCATCTTGCAGGCGATAGTGTTACCGCGTTCGTGGGCTTCCACTGCATTCATTAATAACCTTATTTGGGCCTTTATCATGAATTGTCCAGTTGGACTTCATTCTTCGGGTTATTCGATTTGGGCTGCAGTTTTAGCGTGTCAACAATAATATATGGGATATTCATAAAATAAAATAAAATAAAAATCCTGACCAACTTGTTATCGTATTCAAACTGGAATCACTCTATTGATGCTTATTCAGCTTTCTTTGCATACGATCTTAGGTTATGACCACACCGATTCTCAAATTTTCACTATTGAACTAATCGATTGGACTAGCTGCTATGTTTGAAATGGATTCAATACTTAGCTGTGACAGCACATTATTTTTCACCTTTAAATTTCATTTAACAATTTTCCGTGTCAAACATGTCATGAATTGTTACCGTTGAGAAAAAAAATGGAAAAATGTTCAATTATCGTTGAACTAGAACTGAACTGTTGAATCACTTCGAAGTGAATTTTTTTTTTATAAAAGTTGTGCGAGGGTACCAAGTCTAGTTCTACCAAGAAGAAACGTACGCGCAAGAGATGTTTCAATTCAAAGCCGTCAATTAATTTCCAATGCATTTTCTCCCGTAAAAACTACAGAAATCACAAAGTTGTCGAATGATTAACAGGAGTAAATCATTTCAATCATTCTTTATACTTTTTTCTTCACATTCGAGATCGCCAAATATTCAAGAATTATTTCTATCACTGTTTCTTGAAAAGATCATAAACGGTGTACAAGATTTTGGATTTCAATGCAAAAGTTGGATTGAGTCTCCATTCATGGGAGCTGATTGTCACGGGCCTAGTTTCGTTACACCCGAACAAACTAGAGCCGTGCGGCCTTAACGCTCTACAATTCCCGCACCTCACAAGAAAACGTTAAGTCAGCCTTTCTACGCCCACAAATAATTTAACCAATGAGGCTAAATTATACCCACGTTGAAGAGAATTTTGAAGTAAGTAATATATGGAAAACAAGTAAGGATTGGGGAAACTTTCTTTATATAAATGAAAGGAAAAACTTTATAATCTCTCTAATGAATAAACTCTCTTCACTCTTATATTCTCTACACTTTCTAACCTCTACTCCATACCATTTACATATGAGACTACCTCTCTATTTATAGAAAAACTTTAACCTCCTTAACCTTCCACTTTACAACTTGCGCTTGGTTGTCGCCACCTCGTGCTTGGTTGTCGCCAACTCATTCTTAGTTGTCTTCAAGTGGATGGTATTACAACTTGCATTGCAAGTTGTCGCCAACTCGTGCCTAGCTTGCATACAACTCGCGCCTAGCTTGCACCGTTGATATTTATCCTTGCCAACTCGTGCTTAGCTTGCATACAACTCGTGCTTAGCTTGCAAGTGGCCCACAAGTGGACAAGTTGTGCAACTTGCCCACTTGCATCCTCAAAATATCCGGCTGCAGGTCCATATATTTTTCCTCCCAAAATGGCTGGGTCGAGACTTAGAAAAACCTCATTAACGCCCTGAAAAAATGCACAATCTAGGTAGCCTGCATTCTGCCCCAAAATCATCTATGCATTCCCAGCCCGAGTTTACCTGCAACCTTTACCGAATCTACTTGCGTCCCCTATCGCAAGCTGTTCCGTCCTTTTGAAACGCGTTAACCGCGCTATCTTGCGATCGCTACCGGAACGGATCGAACGCGACCGCGTGAGGTGTAAATCACTCCCCCACTGAATTTGGCGACGCACTCATCGCCATATACCTCCGAAGCATAGACCTTATTTGCCATAAGTCTATCTCATTTTCCCACCTTGTGCCATGACATTCCCGTGTCATGCCATGTCTTAAGTCATGATCTTGCGATCCGTGACATGATGCAAACTTAAGCATGCTTCGGCCAAACAGCTTAAAGACCTGGTGATGTGTCACCAGGGTTGTCGACAAGATATGAAATTGCCAAAATAAACAAAAAAATGTTATCTAGCACTACTTACGTTGAACATCAGTCGAGGTGTCATCATATGGTTAATTAAACCTATGATTTAACGCCACAAGTACTACCACTTAGACTTAACATCAAGAATAGCATTGACAAGGCCGAACTCATCATCTCTATATAATAGTGAGAGCCAATTGAGACCATGTATTCATTCGATTGTAGAAACTTAAGAAAAACAAACCTTCGTACTCAAATCCAAGAAAAGAAGGCCAGAGAAAGAAAATCAGGAATTCAAACCGAATCGAACTTGGTTTTATTGCCTAAAGCCAAGATTAGGAGAGGTTTTCCTCCCCTCATCAAAAACAACTTCAGCAAAAAATTAAAGAATAGAGTATAGTACACAGGCAATGCAGCCAGATCTTGTCCAATGCACAAGAATGCTACGATGTGCCAATGTTATCCAGCATCTCAAAGGGGATTTTAAGACCAAATACCTGCCCAACTACCGAGAACCACGACACCAGATATTTCTCTGTTGTCACCCCACCTTGAACAACTGAAGCTTCATTGGTTAAGAGTAGCTTCATCCAGTCACTTGTTCCACAAGGATGCAGTGTATACCATGGCCGGTTCAATTGAGGGTGCTCCTACAAATTACACAACCAAACTTTCTTAGTTAACAGACCCAAACTTGGAGAGTAAGAGTTATAGTATAAGTTCATAGTAGTTATAGAGGTTCAAAGCATTAGAGAAAAATATCAAGATAACAGGAACAAAAAGAAGTTCACCTCCTGGGTTATAAACGTCCACTTGGATTCTCTTAGCAGTTTTCCAGAATTAGGAGGGATATCCTTTTCAATCTCATCCAAAACCAAAGTCTGTCCATCTACAAAGTTAAAATGAATCAGTCCGTTTGGTTAACGTTTATCAAACCCGCAAAATGATAACAGTATCAGTGCATATAATGTTGATGAATTCGAAAGGTTCAATAGTCAATCTTGAACATATAGATAGCTTGAAATAGTTGGAATGGTTGTCAAATATCAATAAAACCAGCATCAGATATAGCCACTGGGAGGGATTATGCTTATAACAAAACTGAGAAAAATAAATAATTGCAGCAAATGCTATTTTAACACTGAATTTGTCAATATATGTTCACAAAACCATTCAATCAAATTCTTGTCGCAAAGTGATTAAAGGTATAAACGTACCACTTTGGTAAGCACGAAAATAGAGCACAGGTACTCTATATGAGGCACTATAGACGATATGGAAGTCATAGTGATTTACTTCACGACAATAATCTTGAACCTTGCAAGAAAAGAAATAAAATGGCGATGAAGTAGAGAATTAAACCAACCACCGCATTCATGTCTTCGTGAAAATAATCCAATTATAACCAAAGTTGGAAACAATGCGATCATACGGATATGTTTTCTTTCTTGCAAGACTATGAAGGAAATTAGACTATAAAGTTATCAACAAGTGAGATCAAAAATTCATATCAAACAGTGTTGTTACTATCAAAACTTCTCATTTGGCACTAATGATATATTTGTATCCAATGCTTTTAGATGTGCAAAAAATAATAGTAATTTCAAAAACCCGCAATCTATTATATCAGAACAGAAAATTCTTTGACGACAAACACGATAATCACAAGATCTAGCCGTACTACAACTAGCACTCATTTAGTACACCGGAAAATTTCTCAGATGATCTTAGCCAGTTAAGCAAACAGTCTTTCATAATGCAGACGTAGGCTGAACCAACATAAGAAGATTTTCATATACTCATACCAATATGGCATCATCAATAAATTCATCTACATTGGAGCAACTATACTCTTCTTTCTCAATCTGATGCCCTTTATGATGATCTACCTGTAAAATAAAACATTAGAATATCTTGGAATAACTTCGAATGCTTCATTCTTTTTTCTGGCTGCAAAATGGATGAAAAATTGTTAGTTGCAGATCTCAGAAAACCCACCTGATCAAAACCAGGAAGAATTACATTTTCCATTGATAAGTAACCTTCCACCTTAAGAGAAAAAACAAAATAGGAAAATAAATCATACAACTTTTGGATTAAATTAATTGACAGGAACATGTACGAGATGCTCCAAGTAGAATTACATGATTGAAGGGAATCCCGGGCCGTTTTGAAGAAGGGAGCCATGACCACTGAGGAAGAGCTGAATTGAACTTTTCCCATAGCTCTGAAAAGGCACAAGCAGCGATTTTAAACTCAGCAGCCGAAAGGGTCCCATCCAAAGATGAAATATTGATATTGATTGAAGCCATTAGAGCCGCCGGAGTTGATTCGGGAAATTCGTCGAACACCCAGAAGATGATGATCGGAGGATTTACAAATTAATTTCAGAACGTTTCTGTCGTCACCAAAAGTACGAGTATATAAATTAAGCAATATGCGTACGTTTTTGCCAAAACGCCATGCCCTAACCACGGGTAGATTTTCAAATTCTGTTTTAATTTAATCAATTATATTTATAATAAAAATATCAATCTTTATTTTAATTAATTCATTTTAATACCATGTGAATTATGCTTTTATTTTATATTTTATAAATTTTGAAATTACTAGATATTACTTTTTTCATTTTAATATATTTCAAAAATGTTTAATAATATTAAATATTAAGATAAGGGCATGTTTGATACCTTCATTTTCCATGAAAAATGGAAAACATTTTTCATTTCCATCCAAAAATGCATATTTGATGGCAAAAAATTCTATGGAATTGATTTTCTTGGTACAACCCATTTATGCATCATTTTCCACCTTTTTAAG